GAAGCGACTTAGCGCCGCTATTTGCCCGTTAAGGCTCATGACCTGCTTTTTGCTGGTCGAGCTTTTCATGTCGAGGAAAGCTTAGATTTTCTCGGGTTTGATCTCTATTCTCCGTTGAGAGAGCGGCATGAGTATGAGAGAGAGAAGCGTTGTAGCCCATGAGAGTGCATGCGGATGAGGGCTATACCCGAGAGTACCCGAGAGAGAGAGAGAGATTATACACTCACATGACCAAGAGTTCCGAATCCATCCATAACCGAGTCCGATCGGCTAGAATGAGTAGAAGTCACGTAGAGTGGGAGCGAGTCCCGGCCTTGCCTCCGGTAAGATGAGGTCGTGACTTATTAAAGAAAGTAAGTAGAAAAGAGTTTTGAGAAAGAGAAAATATAGAGAAGTATAAGAGAAAGAGTAAATGAGAATTGTAAGGAAAGAATTAGAGAAAAAGAGTTACGGGGTTAGATGAGTAGAGGATTTACTTACTGAGCATTGTTTTAGTGCTCATCCCGTTGTTTCCTATGTTTTGCAGGATCTAGGTGAGGACACGGTTGGATGGGCGTCGGCAAGCGAAGGGAAATGGCTACACTGTCCACCATGTTTTTGATCACTTTTGTACATAATACAATTTTTGTGTAAAGAATATCTAAATACATATATATGTTTAATGAAAGAAAATTTTGGGTCCAACTATTTATGTTATTTTCCATGTATTTTCATTATGTATCTTTTATGAGTATATGAGTAGAAAGAGGCTATTACATTAGGCCCATTTTTCGCTACTTGCTTGCCCTTTCTTCAACACGCTGCAGTGCTCGCAGCACGGGCTATCGCCCTTTGCTGCGCTTTCGCGCGACTTACAGGTATTTTTGGCGGTTGCACTGCCCCAGCTGATTCGGGTGGCACGCCCTGGTCCAAACGGTCCAACCTTTGATTGACCGTCTGGAGGGTATTGTCGAACCTCTCAAAGTAGCTTTTGATGGCAGAGTCAAGTTGTGAACTTGACGGGATATCCCCCGCGACATTTTGCGGAACCGAAGGTACCTCGGAAGAGGTGTCCTGGACTTGGGGGATCTCCCCAGCACCCTGGTTGGTTCGCTCAGGTTCAAGTTGGCAGGCCATTTGCTATTGTAGGGCCAGTAAGTTAGAGATTCTCCTGATGAAGGACGAATACTAAATCAGACCCCTCCTTCTAGCACCAAACTGTTGATGCGTGATTTTGACACCAACCAAATGCACGTGTGAAATGCTGAGCAGGCTCAGAAGACACATGTGAATGTGAAAAATGAGAGTAAATGCAATGGAAAACAACATTTAAAGTGGTTCGGATGCTAAGGAAGCGAATCCTACATCCACTGATTCCTGTATTAATGATAGAGGTCAGATCGCGTTAGCGGACTGACTTAAAAATGATTGTACAAGGGAGGGAATGCTATATATTTTTGAGAGAGAGAGTAGCGAATCCCATCAATGAGAGAATAGCTCTTTATTTATAGTGGGATGGATTAAGGTTATCATTACTAAATCTGCGAGTTTGTAGGATTATCCGTGCAAATCCTTCTTTATGTCATATTGCCCACCTTCTAAAGTGATTTACGCGATTTAGTGCAGGGATTGGACACGTAGAGTCACTACAGCTTCTGATAGGTCTGACGCGCACCTACTTTACTGACATGAGTGTGTTGCTCCTATCATCACGCGACATGACGGTCTCTAACTGACTGTGAGTCTATCTAAACTTTGACTTTTTATGCTGACTGAGCCTTGAATAAGCCTTATATTTTCAGGCATAACAATTTATGTTTAATAGGTCTAGACTACTCAGGAGAGGTGGCAAGGTGAGAGTGAGAGGAATGGGAGAGAGCGAGGACACGTGAGCAAGCAGAGTATCAATAGAAAGAAACACATCACGTGATGGGTGATGGAGGGCGTAGTGTAAGGCAACCACGATATCCTATTCATAAGCTACATGTGATGTGCATGTGTACTTGGACTTCCAGAAGGACCCTGCCAACACCACGGGAATGTACGTGCTTCAACTACATCACATAAATGTATGAAAAGGATAGAGCAAAATCATCATATAATAATTCATCTTATTAGTATTACACCCTGAAATTTAATCAACCTAAGATTAGATTGTTAGATTTTATTAGTGTAACTATAATTTAATAGTGTACTACGAAAAACATTCCATCTAGGACGATAGCCATTAAGAATTGTGTTCGTACTAGTAATTAATAAACGTGACGTGAAAATACAAGTATGGGTTGAGAGTGACGGCCTCAAAACGATTATGTCATATTTTGACAAGTCCTGCCATGTGAAATATTACAATCCAAGGACCCCTTCCATCTTATCACTTTGAAATTTTAAAAAATTAGGTACTTTGTACAAATTTAAATAAATATATATTAATCCAGATCAGAGTGTGTCGGTTTGCGAAATTTTCAATTATAAAAATTTGATTTAGGGGCCAAAGCCCAATTTTGACTTAGGATTTGGAGCCCAGAAGGAAATTGACAAATTGGTGGCATCGGAATTGACAAATTGTGATAATGAATGTCGTTATTATTCAAATCAATCAACACTAAATAAGGCAATCCTGTAGGGTCCAATCTCATCCAAACAGAATCCCCACCCCTCTTTTAAGATAAGGTTATAAGCTTTTTATTATTCAATAATACTATATTTATAAAGATTTTCGTAACATTTTCATAAAAAGTGAAGTTATTTCATTCATTTTTTATCACATTACTTTATATAAAAATCTTTGTAAAATTTCTTTGTAAGAATAGTATTACTTTTTATTATTATCTAAATACCATTATTTTTTGTTTTATGATATACTTTATTATTATAAATTAGAGTAAACTACTTTTTTCCACCCACATAGTGCATAAACTTTTAAAATACCATTTTATTACTTAAATTTATATTCTGTTTCCAATTCCAGCATGTTGCAATCCCACACTATCATCATTCTCTTATTCTATCATCACTTACTAAAATTTTTTAAACCCTACTCTTGTCGACCTCTCCAATCACCGACAATCAAGTGATTATGGTTTGTAAAACTGTCCCTCTCAAGTCAAATTTTAATCGATCACAACCACCAAATGACTTATTATCCTTCTCTCTTTAAAAACTCTAACAGTCTAGATAAAACCATTATTTAGGTGGGAAAAAGTCGTTAACACTTATAAATTATTAATTATTTTTTCCATGGAACTCGCTTTGGGCCATCCTCTTCTTTTAACCAAGAGCAAGCCAACCAATTATGTGAATGGATAATAATAAAAAAAAGTGAAATTATTTTTGTGGATAGACTTGGAGTCTTGGAGAAGGAAGAAATTGTAAAGACATCTCCTCCATTACATTTTGGAATTAATATATGGAGATGTTATAATATATAAAATAATAATAAAGTTAAACTACAACTAAGAATACATTTGATAGTATAATAAATTAAGAAGAAAAGAAAAAGTGGCAGCGAGCATTAATGAACAAAACATATATTAGAGAGACCAAAATCCAGTTATAAGATATAATATATATAGAGTTATAAGGTGGTTGGTGACCATAGAAGATAGAAGATAGAAAATTGAGTGGGAATTTTATATTAATATTTGGTAAAACCAGATGCACAAGTTAGTTTGAATAAATATTAAATAATAATAATATTATTATACATATAATATTTCTCATTTAATATTATGTGATTAACTAATTTTAAATTAAAATTAAATTTTCATAGAATAATTTTTTACCACATAATATTTATGAAAAATATTTAATTTCTAGTTTGAAACTGGACCAATTCCTATAAATATAATCCTTTTTTTGCTAATATGGACATTAATCACATAGAATATCAGATGATTCTATTAACAATTAATTAATTATTTTTTGTTCTCACCCACTATTAACGTCTTTGTCATGACTATGAGTAATTGACTTTTCCTCTTGATTTTTTTTTCTTGGGACACGTGGTTGGTTCCTTTCCACAGGGGTAGTCTTGAGTGTAGTCATATCATCACGTACGATTAGGATTTACTTTGAAGCTTTGATGCCAAGTGGATGGATTAAAAGTTGACCATGTCATAGCGAAGGGACACATTTGCTGACTTGTTCACGTAAATTGAAGGTAGCATGAAACGGACTATATTACTTGTGGTTGTCAATAACAGTAATATTAATGTCATAAACATCTTTAATTAACATATATTATATGATAATAATTTATAAGGTGGGATTTACTATTGGATAGACAAGACACATACAAATTGATTAATTACGAATTAACATATTTTTTAATATAATAACAATTATTGGTGGGTGGGGAAGGGATTAATTATAATTACAAAGCAAATTTCTAAAGTTAATGATATGGCAGCCAGTTGTAGATTTGATATGGATCCCAAAAGATATGTGTGGCCTACAAATCTTATATTATTTGGCAGTAGAGCACAAATCAACCCTATTTAAAATAATAAAAAAAAAATCTTATATCTTTTTGATAACGTAAAGTAAGGTTAAGAATACGAAAATCACCCAAATTTATTCTAATCATTGTGCCCACTGCCAATGTCTAAAGCAAAGAATTTGTAAAGCTAATCCATCTAAAACAATGAGACCATACCATCTATCAACATTCATTTTTCACTAACACATTTTAAAATATGCAACAACACTCCCTCTGTTTTTCACTTGGAAGCAAAATATGCCTTTTACAATGATAAATTGAGAATCATCCACTTCCACTTTGTACTACCCTTGCCTTTCACGGTATTTTTCCCAAAATGCCCTCCCCCGGCCCATATTCTTTTCTTCTTTGGATTCCAATATATTTTACCCCAAGGCTTTTTCATTTTTTTTTTTTTTTTTAACTCTTAAATGCTTCTTAAAAGCTATAAGCCCAAAAGAAAACGAATAAAGCCCCATCGAAAGTTAAAACAAAACAAAACTTTGTTTTCATTTCAAAATCCCCCCACCCCTATCTATCTTCCACACTACCAAACAAACCCATCCTTGTCACGTGCCTCCCCATACCACGCCTCTTCACCTCTCAACTCACATTTACCTCTTCGAAACTTCTCGTCTCTTCTCTTCTCCCCCTCTCCTATACCAAAGAGCCTGAGCTCACTTCCTCTGATGGCTCCGGCATTTACAACTTCCATCTCTGATCTCCCTGACGTTATTCTCTCTAATATTTTCGCTTCCATCACTGATACACGCTCTCGTAACTCCCTCTCTTTAGTCAGCCAGAAGTTTCATTTGCTTGAGAGGATCACGCGCACCTCTCTCACGCTCCGAGGCAACGCTCGTTACCTCTTCTTGATCCCTAACGGTTTCAGATCCGTCACCAACTTAGACCTCTCTCTTCTCTCTCCGTGGGGCCACTCCCTTCTCTCTTCCTCTTTGCCGTCTGATCTTCTGTTGGCTCAGCGCTTACGACAGGCTTTTCCTTCCGTCACCTCTATCACTCTCTACTGCCGATCACCCGCCACTCTCCAGATTTTACTTCCTCAGTGGCCCAGATTGAGCCACGTCAAATTAGTCCGTTGGCATCAACGCCCGCAGTCCGATATCGGAGCTGATTTTTATCCTTTATTTGAACAATGTAAGTCACTTACCTCTCTTGATGTTTCCAGTTTCTATTACTGGACAGAAGATCTCCCTCCGGTTCTCCAAGCTTTTCCAAATATATCAGCGAATCTCACGCACTTGAATCTTCTCACGACATCGTTTATGGAAGGTTTTAAGTCGCAGGAGATTCAAGATATCACTGCCGCCTGTCCTAATCTGAACAAGTTTCTAGTTGCGTGTATGTTTGATCCGAGGTACATTGGTTTCGTCGGTGACGAAACTTTATTGGCTATCGCAACCAAATGTCCTAAACTGTCGCTTCTCCACCTAGCCGACACGTCGTCCTTGGCTAATCTGAGAGGAGATCCAGAAAGTGATGGTTTTACTACAGAGGACGCAAGAATCAGTCGAGAGACTTTAATAAAGTTTTTCAATAGCTTGCCTTTACTGGAGGAGTTGGTTCTCGATGTCTGTAAGAATGTAAGAGATAGCGGTTTTGCTCTCGAGGTGCTAAAGTCTAAGTGTCCGAATCTCAAAGCACTTAAGTTAGGACAGTTTCATGGGATTTGTTTGGCTATTGGATGGCAGCTTGATGGGGTTGCGTTGTGTGGACGTCTCGAGTCTTTGTCTGTAAAGAATTGCGGAGACATGACTGATATGGGTTTGATAGCCATCGGGAAAGGGTGTTGTAGATTGGCTAAGTTTGAAGTTGAAGGATGCAAAAATATTACAGTCCGGGGATTGAGGACAATGGCTTGTTTGCTTCGAAAGACTTTGGTTCAGGTGGGGATTTCTTGTTGTAAGAACCTTGATGCTGTGGCATCCTGTAGAGCTTTGGAGCCGATTCGTGATCGTATTCAAAAACTGCATATTGATTGTGTATGGAATGGAGTGGAAGAGAGCGATAATTCAGATCCAGATGTTCTCAGTTTTGAACTCAATGTAGTGAATGATGAGGGTAGTTCATTCTCTGAAGATGAAGATACTGACACTAACACGAGCAAGAAGAAAAGAAAATACTGTTTCGATGGGGAGGGTTACTCTATGCAAAGTAATGGAAATGGATCTTGGTGCAAGACATGGGAAAGCTTGAAGAGCCTCTCAGTTTGGATTGAAGTTGGTGAGCTCTTAACGCCATTGCCGAAGGTGGGTCTCGATGATTGTCCAAATTTGGAAGAGATTCTTATAAAGGTGGAAGGAGATAGCCGGAGACGGTACAAACCGTCGGAGCAGGCTTTTGGATTGGGCTGTCTAGCAGTGTATCCACGGCTTTCAAGGATGAAACTAGATTGTGGTGAAACAATAGGTTTTGCTCTAACAGCGCCATCGGGACAAATGGATTTGAGCTTGTGGGAGAGATTTTTCTTGAAAGGAATTGGGGAATTGAGACTTAACGAGCTTGATTATTGGCCACCACAAGATAGGGATGTAAATCACAGGAGTCTGTCACTACCGGCAGCTGGATTGCTTGCACAGTGTAGCACGCTGAGAAAGCTATTTATCCACGGAACGGCTCATGAACATTTTATGATGTTCCTTCCTGAAATTCCTAATCTGAGGGATGTTCAACTGAGAGAAGATTACTATCCAGCACCGGAGACCGATATGAGTACTGAAATGAGGGTGGACTCCTGCTGTCGCTTTGAAGACGCGCTTAATAGAAAACGCATAGATGATTGAATCATAATAAACAAGCATATGAGACGCTTGAATTGTATGAAGAACTTGTAAGCCGGCATAGGATAAAATAATTTTTGAAAACTGAATTTCAAAGGCATCTTGTGTCTATTTATTTTTACATGGTGTATCATCTTATATTAGTTTTTTTTTTTTTCTTTTTTTTTTAAATAACCGATGTAACTAAGCGTGTAACACACAGGATGTTAAATTCCAAACAATTAAAGAGAGAAATGATTCAACTTGACTCGATATGATATGATTGCCCAAAAAAAAGATTGAAGAGTTGGATACAACGAAAACTGAAAAACGAAACATTCTATGCCTTAAAACTGTTTTACAATTATTGGAAAATCATGATAGTTTACAACTTACGAAGCCGAAATACATTGTAACAACTCTACCATGTTTTCTATACAGAAGGAGATTTTCTCAGCAAAGTGAGTACTCGCAGTCCAACAAACGAGAAAGTATTTCCTCACAGCTCGGTCTTTCCTGTGGTTCCGCCCAACAGTCTGCAATAAAAACATAACAATGTCGTCAGCCCATTTAAACTCTACATAAAATAAATTATACTAAAGTTAAGACTACTGTAAATGTAGTAAACCTGAAATCAGCCTGCCCAGAGGACCTTCAGGAATATCCAAGCGGGAACCTTCATTTGCAACAGCATAAACAACCTGAAGAGAACCAAGAGTTGATTATTGTGCCTAAAAAATTAAAATACTTAAATTCAGAGACCAAATATACAAAGAATTATATGCCAACATACCCTCTCCGGAAGTACACCTTCCCATGGTCTATTTAGAGTGCATAGCTCCCACATTATCACCCCAAGGCTAAAAATATCACATTTTTCTGTAAATGGTTCATTACGAATAAGTTCAGGAGCCATCCATTCTGGAGTTCCTGCAGATGAGGAGTCTCTGATGGGTGAGTCCGTCATTATTCTGGAGAGCCCAAAATCACATATCTTCACAGTCCAGTGCTTGTTCACAAGGCAGTTTGCACTTTTCAGGTCACGGTGAACAATCTTCATCCGGTGTATGCACATCAATCCCCTTTCACCAGCAGAAAATTCCAGTCAGTACACACAAGAAACTTTTCATGATACTAATTTAACCTTGACATCTGGATTGAGGCACTTGGATCTAAATATAGTGACTGTATATATGGTTATGTCTGGATAAATGGATAGATTATTATTCAACCAACGAGGAAAAAGAAAAAAAAATAGTACTAAAAAGAAAAAGTGTTATACCATAACATCTTTAGCACATTTAACGGTCTCCTTGCATCCAATCCAAACAGAAATTTAAAGAAAACAAAAGTATATGTTCATTGCAGTAAATAAGTGTGATATGGAATTTATAATTCTCTACAAATTTCGACCAAAATTTATCCCCCTTGGGAGGACCAAAAGAATGTCTTTTGCATATCAACCATTTCATATTCCTAACACTGCAGATTCATTAAAATACTAAGTGTTCAAATTGTTTATCTGCTACTAACCCAAAACTTAGCTGGGCACCACCAATTGTAGTATTTTCAAGTTGGCTGCATGATATTGTTTCGCCATTCTATCCTGAACATATATTAAAGGCAATGCCAGCACCTTGTAGTGCAAAAGCTAGTCCTTATTATGCAGGTCAAAACATCTTTACCTAACTTCCTTTGATTCTGTCATCTATTGTCAGGCATAAAATGATAGAAATGCGTTCAGTTCTAGTTCCAACTGTCACCGTACAGCTTCAAATAAATGTGTATTGTGGATATTAATTCTCATGACTAGTAAACTTTTAAACTTAATTCCTCACAATTTGTAGTTACAACTTACAACGGTGTATTTAGGGTATAAATGTTGATTTCTTTAAATTAAAAGTATGCTGTGTAGTGCCATAAAGCAGTGTATCCTTAAGCGTTAAGACAGAGGAAGGGAAAAAAAAAACATCTCGAAGTGATAGACAAGATGAACACACCTGCATATATCACGCAGCATTTTGAGTCTTCTCCTCCAACTAAGTTTCTTTTTCTGACCGCTCAAATGGATCAAATAATACAAGGATCCCATCTCCATGTATTCAGTAACCATTGACAAGCGTGGAGGCCTCGTGCATGCACCCAAAAATAAGATAACTGCAACACGAAAATAGATTGAATCACCAGCAATAAAGAAAGACAGAGAAATGCTACTCACCCTCAGAGTTTCTTAAGGCTCTCTGTCAGGAATAATATATAGAAAAAGAAAATAACAAAAAAAAAAAGCATTTTCTATTAATTGATTTTCTCTAACAAAAGATAAGTATCATATTAAGCTTCCAGACAAAATTTGAAAAAAAAATATGTTAAAATCAGTGGCAGGAGAAGTGGAGTACCATTAGGATGCCGAAGGCGGCTGGAGGTAGAGAAATACCCACACACACAAGAAAATAAAAAGGATAAAGTTAGAGAGATATATGAGTAAAATAAAACTAAAATCATAAACATATCAATAAAAAGATACCTAAGAATGGTTATTTCATTGCAAAAATCTTCCATATTTTCAGCAGTTAGATCTTGTTCCAAAAAAACCTTGATTGCAACATCTGTACCATTCCATATACCACGGAAAACTTCTCCAAAAAACCCTATCATTAAAGATATAAAAAGGTATTAACATAGTAAAAAGTCCATTTTACAATATGATCAAATGAATATATTAGTTAGGCATTATGTTTAACAATATCAAAGGCCCTAAAAAAGCAGTGCAGAGGATAATAATAAGTAATGCTTACCAATACCAACACGAGTCCCAACAGTTAATTCAGAGAAATCAATATTCCACTCTTCATAAGGTAACAGCGGCCTATTTTGGAACATGGGAGATTCAAGAATTTTATTCCATGTTGAGACCAATTCAGCATTTACCATGTAGGCAGAAGGTCCACCTCTCTCAGAAGCATGAGTCCTATATTCATGGGGAGATGAAGGCAATGATATAGCCTTCTGAGAATTCATTTGGTTACAGGAAAAATTATATAATGCAGACCTTCCACCAGATATATCATGATGACCGCTGAGAGCTAAATTTGTTACCTAAAATAGAGCACAAAGTGATTTGTTTCATCATGTTATAATTCAGATTGATGTTATATAGAATATCTAAAGCAAAAATCCGGTCATCTTTCACAAAGGTGGAAAAACCATACATTTTTTTGAAGATCTGGGTTGTCTCGATCATTCGAAGAATGGGTGAAGGACCTATCATCCTCCCTTTCTCGCAAAAGACGATTTTGCTTCAAGGTTTCATTCATTGCTCGCACAGCCCTGAAAAAAATAACATCCAGAGTTAATGCCCTATGAACAAACAAAAAGATTGGATTCCCAAAATCAATGAAATCAAAATGAGATTCTGGCTAATCAGTATCAATGTCTTAATTATCCAAGAAATTAATTTGTGGTGTACTTGAACAAGAAACTCAAGGCCCAACTCGATTCACTCAAAATCTGAACATTGTCTGTCTCAAAACCTGGACAGAACCATCTAGTTGAACTGGTCAGAATCCCACTCTAAAAACCTACTGTTATTTCAATATTGACTCACATAGAATATAAACTAATCACAATTATTATTCATGCAACAAGTAAAAGAAATTTAAAGCTTGAAAGAAGAAGAATTATTGGACCTTGAGAAGAAAAAATGGAATTCACCAAAATTTCAATTTGATTCAGCCAAATCAAGCATAGAAGTGAAGCCAGAAGCAAGAAAGGAAGCTCAGTCAATTAAAATAAATAGATAATCAACTGTGGACCCCACAACCAAAAGCCATTTGAAACTGGTTAGCACGTGAACGACATGCAAGATTGGTATCTCCACATGTTACCTACTTGGTCCAAACCACAGAAAGGTTCTCCAAATTAACAAGGTAAGGACATATGGCTCGCTTGAAAAGAAACAAAAATCTGACATGGGAAGTTTTCCGATGGGCTAAAAAAACTTCAAAACAGAATTTTCAAAAGCAGTATGCGTTTAACCCATGAAAATGTGAATGTTGGTAGTAGTCATTCTCTTTTAGCATACTGTCAAACATCTTCCTTTTAGCATAGCAGACTCAAAAATGCCATCAATTGAATTTTTCACAGGTTTGAAACCAATTAGGTGAAGCTAATTGCCAAGGGAGTCAAATATTCTTAACATATGGTTTACAAGGTAAAAGTTCTTTTTCTGCTTGTAAAAAGAACAGAAATATGTGGGTCCACCTCTTGTTTATCTCTAATTGCCAACTCTTTTATGCCTTTCACATACAAAACTATATGTGCGTGTGGGTAGCTTTTTGTGGCAGAATCCACAGATCATTACTTCTTTGATATAGTTAAATTTCTTTTCTTGATTTCAACTTCCATTGTCAATTTCCTTTCTTGATTTCAACTTCATGGTAATTTCCTTTCTTGATTTCAACTTCATGGTAATTTCCTTTCTTGATTTCAACTTCATTGTCACTCTTGATATGGTTGAACCAAAATTAATATGGTTGAACCAAAATTAAGTCTTCATATACATTCAATTTTTTTTATTTAAGGTTCAATGAATCTTCTTTCAAACTTCAACCGTCTTATTTCATACATAAATAATTCTAATTATGCTCATTATTAACTTCAGCATAATCACTAAAAAATTGATTGAGAAAATTGAAGAATTCTGACTACTACACAATGTTTGTTCATCACTAACTAAAATACCCTCGCATATCCCTTGCAATAAAACCTAATGTAGATATTTCAACATTCTCCCTCAAGTTGTAGAATAGATATCTATCAGATGCCTAACTTCACATACAGTGTTACAACTAGCTTACTCTTTCATCAAATCTCTGATAAAATGACAATCTACCTCAATAGGTGCTTAGTTCTTTCATAAAACACTGGATTAGACGCAAAAGCATCGTTATCTGATCATCTCAAAATATTATCATTGATTCATTACTTGAAATACCATTTCTTCCAAAAGATACTTGATCCAAATCAGTCCACATGCAACAGCCGTCATGGCTCCATAATAACTTTAGCATTTGATCTAGCCACTGCATTTTGATTCTTGGCCCTTTTTAAGAAACTAATATTTCCATAAACGAAAGTGCAAAGACTTGAATTCAATCTTCTATTCATAATATCTATACCAAACCTACATTTGAAAAGCTATCTTGGTCAAGTGAGCTGAATTCTGTACAAATTGAATAACAAATTCAACTGCAAATGTGATACTCGAGTCACTGCAAAAATATATCTTATCACAAACATTTGAACTCTCAAAGTCTTCAAGCGTCTCACCCCTTCTGTCATAAATTTCAAATGAACTCCATCGGAGCATCAACTAGTTTAATCTTCTAAAGATTAGTCACAAATTTCCCTTTCCGAATAGGCAATTACCCTCTTTTCTCAGAAAAGAAAATGTAGGCAATATCCTCGTCAAACTGATCAACCTCTATACCTAAGAAACATTGTAAAATCTTCAAATCTTTCATATAAAATTGTATAATCCATATTGTCACCACCAATGTATGCTACAAGAATAATTGAATAATGCTCTGACTATGACGAATAAACATAGATTGACTAACTACAACTGTCTTCCTAAGAAATCTATCATGGTGCAAAAAAAGAAAATAATATTTGCAGTACAAAGTGCAGAAAAAATTATAAAAGTAATTCATGAGAGAACAATATCAACCTTACGATATCATCACCAATCTCTGGGGTAATGCTAATGCTTCTTCTTCTCATTCTACGAGCCTCTGATGTTGACGCGCCTTCTGACCTGTAGCTACAATTAAGGTTGAATACAAAAGCAATTTTTAGTTCATTATTTTATGCTACTTAACAAGTCAAAAGATAAAATCAGAAAAGATGTTCAAAACTACTCTACCACCATTTCCAACTAAAAGATAGAACCAAAATCATTTACTATATTGCATTTGCTGATTTAGATCCAAAAAAGACACATTTACATTTAAAACTACAACATAACACAAAAATGTATAATTAGTCTTGATTAACCATTCCCATGAACAGCATTACCATGTAAAGCAATTCAGACTTAAAGATGGAAACAAAACACAACTTAAGCATCAAACAAAAATGTAAATCTTCTAGGAAGTAGACACATGCCAATTAAAAACTTTAGATGTTTAAAACCATTATAAAAATGTAATATCTTGTAAAAATAGAAGCATGTGATAAGCCATAATACAGATATGCACTATATAGATGTCTAATTCATAAATTTTAATTATTGGTCACAATTACATTTAAACTCATTTCCAAATAAGATGAAGGTTTTAAACTGGATTTCTTATGGAGAAAGTTCAGAGTTTATGCATTTGCAAAAGATAAGGTTAAAAAATTACTATTCCCATTCCCAATACAGAGCTCACGTAAAATCTACAAGTGACGGAGTCCAGGGTGCTTTGAACCATCAATTGACTGTAAAAAGGTTTCCAAGTACAGGTGGAAGTATACTAAGAGATCGAGTGAAAACTGATGGAATTGACTCATGGAAGCACAAGGTCAATTGCCACACGAGAATACCATCAGTCTGTAAGAAGCTAAGGCGTGAGTTAGAACAACACTGATTGCAAAAACCAGAAGTAGAGCATAAAAAAATGCCAAATTTTCTACATTATAAGAGGAGTGAGGCTCGGCCTTTTCTGTTGCAAAAGAAACATTAAAAGCACTAATTACTTAAGGGCTTTACAGATGAGAAGATATAATACACCCAGCAACACTCATTAGACAACATTTGAAGCCAAGCATATGTGGAGTGGGAAGTTTAAACAAGAGGTAGAATATCTTGGTAACATGATTACCATAAATGCCTAAGCTCATGATCAAACTTTTCAAGGTATCCTTGTATGTGAAGTAGATAACACTTCCTCACCACCTTTCGCTTCTTTGGCCAAAAAAGAATTTCATCTAGCCGTTCTTAGGAGAAACATAAATATAGAACCAACTATGATATTTGAAATTTAAGCAACAGATAAGACTCTAGAAGGTTTATAAGATTTTTTATCAAGCACATAAAAGCCTCCAAAACTGATGCGCCCTTATCTTCAGTACAAAAGCATTATACATAAGTGGACATTAAGTACATCAACTTGGATTTATTTTTTCTTCAATTATTAATATTTAAGTAAATAGAAACATAGGATCAAAAGTGGGAGAACCTTGATGTGGATACTTCATCAGAGAAATCTCCAAGTGAATTTCTGTCTCCACTAAGCATGGATCGTCCACGTGCTCGAAAAGAAGGATGCTCTGGACTGCAAAACAAATACATTTAAAAAACAAAATTGTACAAAAATATTTAAGCTTCCTATATATATATATATATTGTGATTTTATGTGTATGTGTATGTGTTTGTGCTAGAGAGAGAGAGAGAGCAGAGATAAAAAGAGACTGATATCATATCATCACTTAGTCATTGCAACAGCGAAGATTGATATTGTTCCTTAAAAACAATATATGCACACATGTCAGAACCATAAGGAAACTTCACAATGAAAACTTGAGTGCAATCCAAGCATCAAATTTACATTACCTACATTAAAATGGAAATCTCTGTCTAGTTGACGATAGTACAAAATATAGATTTCTAACATATTCCTAGCATTGTGTACTACAACCAAAATATGGGATTGATAATTGTAGAAAATAATAATCAAAACTATCCGAAATAAATGCAAATTCTCATGCAACACATACTGCTGGGAAATCTTGACCAACAATTGCCCCCATTGATACAAAGCCAAGGACTTTTCTCATTTTCTCCATTTCTTTTCTAGAGGGGTATAGGGGGTTACTTGTGGAGATTACAAGAAACTAAATGTAAGCAGAAGAAANGTATGCTACAAGAATAATTGAATAATGCTCTGACTATGACGAATAAACATAGATTGACTAACTACAACTGTCTTCCTAAGAAATCTATCATGGTGCAAAAAAAGAAAATAATATTTGCAGTACAAAGTGCAGAAAAAATTATAAAAGTAATTCATGAGAGAACAATATCAACCTTACGATATCATCACCAATCTCTGGGGTAATGCTAATGCTTCTTCTTCTCATTCTACGAGCCTCTGATGTTGACGCGCCTTCTGACCTGTAGCTACAATTAAGGTTGAATACAAAAGCAATTTTTAGTTCATTATTTTATGCTACTTAACAAGTCAAAAGATAAAATCAGAAAAGATGTTCAAAACTACTCTACCACCATTTCCAACTAAAAGATAGAACCAAAATCATTTACTATATTGCATTTGCTGATTTAGATCCAAAAAAGACACATTTACATTTAAAACCACAACATAACACAAAAATGTATAATTAGTCTTGATTAACCATTCCCATGAACAGCATTACCATGTAAAGCAATTCAGACTTAAAGATGGAAACAAAACACAACTTAACCATCAAACAAAAATGTAAATCTTCTACGAAGTAGACACATGCCAATTAAAAACTTTAGATGTTTAAAACCATTATAAAAATGAAATATCTTGTAAAAATAGAAGCATGTGATAAGCCATAATACAGATATGCACTATATAGATGTCTAATTCATAAATTTTAATTATTGGTCACAATTACATTTAAACTCATTTCCAAATAAGATGAAGGTTTTAAACTGGATTTCTTATGGAGAAAGTTCAGAGTTTATGCATTTGCAAAAGATAAGGTTAAAAAATTACTATTCCCATTCCCAATACAGAGCTCACGTAAAATCTACAAGTGACGGAGTCCAGGGTGCTTTGAACCATCAATTGACTGTAAAAAGGTTTCCAAGTACAGGTGGAAGTATACTAAGAGATCGAGTGAAAACTGATGGAATTGACTCATGGAAGCACAAGGTCAATTGCCACACGAGAATACCATCAGTCTGTAAGAAGCTAAGGCGTGAGTTAGAACAACACTGATTGCAAATACCAGAAGTAGAGCATAAAAAAATGCCAAATTTTCTACATTATAAGAGGAGTGAGGCTCGGCCTTTTCTGTTGCTAAAGAAACATTAAAAGCATAATTACTTAAGGGCTTTACAGATGAGAAGATATAATACACCCAGCAACACTCATTAGACAACATTTGAAGCCAAGCATATGTGGAGTGGGAAGTTTAAACAAGAGGTAGAATATCTTGGTAACATGATTACCATAAATGCCTAAGCTCATGATCAAACTTTTCAAGGTATCCTTGTATGTGAAGTAGATAACACTTCCTCACCACCTTTCGCTTCTTTGGCCAAAAAAGAATTTCATCTAGCCGTTCTTAGGAGAAACATAAATATAGAACCAACTATGATATTTGAAATTTAAGCAACAGATAAGACTCTAGAAGGTTTATAAGATTTTTTATCAAGCACATAAAAGCCTCCAAAACTGATGCGCCCTTATCTTCAGTACAAAAGCATTATACATAAGTGGACATTAAGTACATCAACTTGGATTTATTTTTTCTTCAATTATTAATATTTAAGTAAATAGAAACATAGGATCAAAAGTGGGAGAACCTTGATGTGGATACTTCATCAGAGAAATCTCCAAGTGAATTTCTGTCTCCACTAAGCATGGATCGTCCACGTGCTCGAAAAGAAGGATGCTCTGGACTGCAAAACAAATACATTTAAAAAACAAAATTGTACAAAAATATTTAAGCTTCCTATATATATATATATATTGTGATTTTATGTGTATGTGTATGTGTTTGTGCTAGAGAGAGAGAGAGAGCAGAGATAAAAAGAGACTGATATCATATCATCACTTAGTCATTGCAACAGCGAAGATTGATATTGTTCCTTAAAAACAATATATGCACACATGTCAGAACCATAAGGAAACTACACAATGAAAACTTGAGTGCAATCCAAGCATCAAATTTACATTACCTACATTAAAATGGAAATCTCTGTCTAGTTGACGATAGTACAAAATATAGATTTCTAACATATTCCTAGCATTGTGTACTATAACCAAAATATGGAATTGATAATCGTAGAAAATTAGAAAATAATAATCAAAACTATCCAAAATAAATGCAAATTCTCATGCAACACATACTGCTGGGAAATCTTGACCAACAATTGCCCCCATTGATACAAAGCCAAGGACTTTTCTCATTTTCTCCATTTCTTTTCTAGAGGGGTATAGGGGGTTACTTGTAGAGATTACAAGAAACAAAATGTAAGCAGAAGAAATTAAGGAAAACCTTGAACTAGCAGTCCGTTGTTCAGCAATGACCTTTTTCCGGCTCCGCCGCCAAAATGTAGTAGCAATGTTGGGTTCACTATGTGATAAACTGGGTAAGTGACAAAGAAATCCAAATAAACAGCAGTTAAATTACACTATCGATAGATTTTGAATACAGATGTTTCAATCAATATAAGAAAGAGTTTGAAAGATAAAAAATAAGAAACAAGAAGGCTTTTCTAAATATAAGGAACTTCACAAAACAAAAAACTATTACCTCAATTTCCTTTCCATGGAGGTGGTGGGTCGCAACATCATATTTCGTAATGAAGGACCCGAGATATTTGAAGATGCTTCTAATTTCCGATGGAACTGAAGGCTCTCATCTTTTTCAGCACTGCAGTAAAATGATAAATAACATTTAACCTAACCACCTTATAAAACTTTACTGACTAAAGACATCATGCAAAATAGGTGAATGTGTGGTTATAGATAGTTTCACAGTGTTAGTCAAACATCACTTCTAACCTGTCAGGATCCACTCTCTCTGAAAACCCATATAGAGGACTGTTCGGCTCTAGAGGTGAATCACAGGAGTCATTTTCAGCAGAATCGCTCTCCCCTGCAGCTGAGACATGGGTCATAAAAATTGCCTTGGTTGTGCGAGGTATTAGCTGACCAGGGAATCGCATGAGATCAACCAGTAACTCCACAGAATTCAACACAACTATAACAGACATGTGTTTATATGAGTCTACACATTCAACAGCTCCATCATTTGGTAACCCCTGGTAAGAAAATGTTGAAACGCAGGCATAATAGATCAGCAATTAGATATTATGACAAGCAATCAAAAATGTCTAAGAAACTCTTTTCTTTTCTTTTAACTACACTTAAAACTAAAAGATAGAACAGTTTAAGCCAACAAATGAAGTTAGCTTACCACCATGAGCCTACTTTCTAGACCAACAGTATCTGCAAGAACTTTAAACATGATAGCTCGAGGACGGCATGAACCATGTTTTATTTGCCCTAGCAATTGGACACCTCGAGTCTCAAACATATGGGAGTTTTCCTCAAGTGCAGCTTTTGCTGGACTTTCCAAATTTGGTCGTTTATAAAAATCAGATACCTGTTTAGGCAATGGAAATAGTTAAACCAAAAGAAAAGCTAGTAAATGTTTACCCTGTCAATGCAGAGCAGGAATTTTGAAGAAAAGACAAAATTTACATTTCCAATAGTGCAATTCACAGTTACTATGGCAGTTCCAATAAATGAACAATTAAGTAAACATTTATAGTTTTCATTTCCTTCATGATCATTGAGTGGGGATTCAGCTTTTGATTTTAGTTTGCATGGCCATAGTTGGGCTGTTTTTTTGTACCTAGATTCTTGATCTTTATCTTTCCATACCTTGTGAGACAACTAGTTCACTTACAAGTACATCTTCAAATCTCATAATCTCATTTGTTAATAATATCCTTTTCTTATCTATTTTCATAGTCCCTTTAACATACCAAATTTCTTCTAAGCAGGAAATATTGCCTGCATTGATTGGAAAACAATAGTTCATTAAAGTTACTAGCTGCAACGATATCACTATAGAAACAATGTAAATAGTTTTCAGCGTCTAGTTGGTGTTTGAAGCATGGATGTTTAGATTGACATCTTGGAGCTGTTGAATGAAACATGACTGATATGTGCACATTTGCATATACAAGAAAATGGATTATTTTGAATAAGAAAAAAAAGTCTAACACCAGTATTAGGTAAAGCAAAGAGATACATAGTTTTTTTTTTGTGTGTGTGTGTTTATGTGTAATGTTAAGATTTTTAAGTTATTAAACTCCTTAAAAAAAATTATCAGATACAAATCATAATATCACAACATACATGGGTCCCCAACTATTTATCATTATGTTTATTTAACTCCATTATTTCCTACTAATATTAAGCTTTTAACATAAAAACCACATTATTTTAATAACTTTACATTCATGCTCTCTGTTTCCTCGCACATGTACTATACTCCAAAATTTAGAGAATGAACTTACTAATATCAGTTTTTTTCACGAACCTAAACTATAACATTTTTTCTTTGTACCTTTTGCCTCCTCCCTTTCCTAGAAATATCCCCCCTCTCTCTCTTCCCTCTAACATGAAATCAGCATGCTTTTCATTTTCTTCATCTATTTTTTTAATCCATGAACTTTCTTGCTTTCTTAGTACCACCTATGTTAAGTAAGGGGGGAAGTAACCATTCGAAGTGGTGTATGGTAAGAGGACTAACAGAATCACTTTGTCAGGTAGACAGTTTCAGTGATAGTTAACTTTATGACTTCATCTTAAACACCCAAAAAAAAAATCAAATGAGCAGAGTATAATAAAACTTCATAAAATTCAAATTCACATGCATATCTTCACAAACAATTCCGCCTCTCCTTGTTCTGGGGTAATCTTTTAATTTATAGTTGATAATGTTAGAGACCTTTTCTTAATTACAAAAGAGTTAAAAAATACTTTTAGTGTTGTAGTTTAAAAATAATTGATAAAGAACAAGAGTAATATTGTCAGAGTAAAGTGCACAAGGCAAAACTCACATGCAATCCACAAGGTCAAAGACCTACAATGAGATAACTAGATATAAACAGGAGTTCTTAAACTACTTTTTACCAATCCGGCAATCTTTTTTATCATAGCAGCTGGATTTGAGTTCAATCCTTTCACCAATGCCAAAATCAACTGCTTCAGCATGGACAGCTTTTTATCTTTCTCAGCATCCACAAGAATAATATCGGCTTTGTAGCCCTCAGCCCCCAGTGCATGAAGCTCGTCTAGAGAAGGAATATTATCAAAAAGTTCCTTCAGCCTTTTATCCTGCATATAATAAAATATTACCAAGTTAAATCATAATTAAAGTTCAACCAAGTCACAGAATCAAGTAAACCAGTCATGTATGTGATTTCCATGAGACAAATATTAACAAAACTAGATATAGATATTACTGCACAAAAAAAAAAAAAAAAATCCCCCTTCAGGATATTGACCAGACAGAAAAGCAAATACATAAGGTAGGATACAGGTTGAAAGATACACACAACAATAATTTTTCTGAAGACGGTGCAAGGCGGGAATTCCTTCTCCATATATGGAGGTATAAAATAAAAGATACAAAAAGTAACTTGGCAAAAGTTTGATGGTAGAGGTCAATTTGACAAGCGATGTGTGGTACACATATCAAGTCATATCACGACATATACTATGTCTAGAATAGAAATTAGGCAGGACATGTGTTGCTCAAACAGCAAATACAAAAATTTTGCAGTTTCAAAATGGAGTTTCAATTTCAAGACAACAGATAAGAGGGCGAGAAAAAATAGAAACTTCAAATCACTCATTCCTGGCATAATGAATTACCAGACACTTTCGAACAAGTTAACATTGTTTCATCACTTCAAAAGTTTATGAAACTGTGAGGAAGTCTTATTCCTGCTAAAGAGAAAACCGACTTATGTAAATCTGAAACATAATTTACTTGTTAAGTGTAGGAAACATCAAGAAATCACTAATAGGCAACCTCATCATCAGTTACAAAAAAGAAAATATGCATATGCGCATACATATATATGTGTTCCAGTTCTATAAGATCTAACGAAATTTCCAGCTCCTAATTAACTTATAGAAAACCGTATCCTCTATAAAACTGGAAACTAACAGGTGCTGTAAACAAACCTCTTGGTTCTCCAACTTTAGGAGAACCTAGAAATCAGAAAAGAGGATGATTTCAGACTTGATTAAAAAATTAAAACCTATGCAACAAACCTTTGCAAGAAACCTATGCAACGAAGCTTCCTTTGTAAGAAACAAATGTTTGGAAATCAATTACACACCAAGGAGAAAGAGCTGTCATTCTTTAACAAACTAATAAAGAACCTTTGACATCTTCATAATATCACTAGAACAAAGTCAATTTCTTTCTGAAATCTAATATACAAGATAAAGTCCATAGTCTAAAAATCTCGGCAATGAAATTTTTCTCACCTTCTCTAGACAAGTTTTAAGCAAATCACCTCTTTTATGTTAAACAACTAAACTTCACAAGTAATACGTACAACTAAAACATGTATCATTATTTCTAAGTTTGCAAGCGGACTCCAGCAAGAAATAGAAACCCTGAAGAACATGTCTTTCCCAGTCCAAAGCTGTTGTTTATACATCAAAAACTTCAAGTGTTGCTCAAACACGACTAGAGGATGCCACATCGAGCCATTCAACACAACATAAATTTGTAGCCTTCCAACATTTTCAACCAAAAGATGGCAGCAATTCTTGAAACAGTTGAAATTTTTCATCCCACTTAAACAATAGCAGTAATTCTGCGACCACAACTTAAAGGAATACCAACTAATGCTTGCACCATGTTCTTAATAATTACCGTATCAAGTGCACCAGAGAAATAATACATACTCTTAAATTGGGCTCCTCAATGTCCTGCCTTTGATTTGATTTGATTTTTTTTTTTTTTTAACACTGAATTTTGTCAAAAGCTGAAGCTACCTGGCAAGCTCAAGTTTGAAATTGGGAATCCTACCAAACGCATGGATTCGCTAAGTATGCAGCCCTAAGGAATCAAACATCAAACTATATGGTAGCAAGCCATTGATTTAAGTGTGCAAAATTTCAAAGACCAATGTGACCGATATATCTTGTCAAAGCATATCCAAGGAAAACATCAAAGTACCTAGAACCACAAAGATTAGTCTCGAGAATACTTTCTTTGAGTCCATTTTGCCTCAATACCTGATTTCTGCTTAATATTGTTGTCACCAGTCATTCCACCAGATTCCCCATAACAGACTATGACTAAGCAAATGTCAACACCTATATGGGGAAACTTTGACTTGGCATCTCTCCATGTAATGGTATAATTATCAATGAAGCAAATCCCCAATACCAAAACATACTTAATAAGAACTTTGCACCTTGAATTTCGATAGGATGTTTGTCCTACATAAAGTTAAACAGCTACCATACAAACCATGTGTTTGAACCTTGCTCCTATGCTTTACATAAATTAAGAATATAACAATCACAGTTATGATTGGATTGCCGATCTGAAATCTAAGTGGATGCTTCTCTAGACAGCTTGACTTTGTCCTGATTTTCACATTTCTAAGCACAGACAAGAAATAAATTACAAACATTTATTTATCTCTACCACAGTTTCTAATACGCTTGGACAGGTAAAAAAGGAAATCAAAAGTATTTTCATTAAGATTTTAAAATATAAAGGAGAGCAGAAATGACATGTGCCTTTCCACAGATGGTGAAAGTCTGGCATGTAGATTTCTTAAACAAAAACGAAAAGACAAGTGTAAGTCTGCAATACATTCACATCCTAGACTCTCAGTGCAAAATTTAACATTGATGCATAAAAAAAAGTGGGGAAAAGAGGCAATAAAAGGTGAACTCCGTCTTAACAAACACATGACATTAATGCAGCAAAAATCAGACCCTAAATCCAACAACAGATACTACCAATAACTAGAAGATAAAATACAGTCCTCACCGGGATGACAGAATAGAAACCATTTGGAATTGGATCAGAGAGCATCCCAGTGCTCCAGAGAATTTGTGATGCTGTCTGCGATGAAAATCCATCTTGCTCAAAATTTGTAGGTGATTCTTTATTACTTAAACTCTCTTCTTGAGAACCAAAAGAAACGGATGCAAATTTTTCCATAAAATCTTGAGTCCACCATGTAGCATTTGGAGGTCCTTGCTCCACCGACCCTGCATCATCTCGTGTCTCCTCCATGTCCTTAAGTATTTGACATGTAAAACCATTTCGCCCCTAATTCTTACCCCATAAAAGACCTTTCAATTCACATATAATTCTTAGACAACAAAACAGTGGATTACAAGCTTCTTGCTTTCTGAATTCTTTAAGCTGGAGGCCATCAGACCTGAAAAACAAAGACCAGATGGTAACCTTGGCTTAGGAATAAAAGCAAAAATGATTATATAACAAATCAATTGCCTTTATACTATAGCAATATGACCTTCAATAAATGAACAACATCATAGCAGAATGCACAGAGCAAAACAATTAAATCTTAAACTGAGGCATGTAGGGCACTTCCTCCAGAGGGGATTTCCCTCATTAGTTACAATATTTCATCAGTTAGATTAGCTATCACACTTCCTCCAAAGAGTAAATAAAATTATTATTTTTTAAATCTGTATGTTTCCTTCGCATGCAAATTTCACTTGTGCTTGGTTTAGCTTATTGTGATTGCTCTAGTACAATATAGATTCTTTATATGCTCACTGATCAACCCTAATCACAACTTATTTGTACTTTATACAAGCTACATATGATACCCTGGATCCAAAGTATTATTAAAAAAAAATTATATCCTACTGACACTAGCCAATACATTCATGTGGAATTTTCATGTATAACTATATGTGAAGTCTTTTTTTTTCTTTCCATAAACAGTTTAACAGCAATGAAATTCATATTTGAATGTCTCCACTATAAAATGATATTACCAGAGAAAATCAGAAAGTATTTCCACACTAATAAAGAACCCTAACATATATATTAAAGAGAGAGTAAGTAATAAAATTCATATGACATTTGTTAGTGCATCCCACATCTATTAAGTATTTGATATGGCTCTAATACTATGCTTGGCTCTTTCACCTAATGACTTACTCTTTTGGATGGATTTCTTTACAGCATCTTTTGTCATCATTTGCAGGATAATAAATATATAAAACAAAAAAATTAGGATCTTCCAGCAGACCTAATTATACACTCTACAGGCTGATCAAATAAGAAAAATCATACCAAATTAAGATCTTCAACACAATACACTCTACAAAAACTAAAAAACCTAATTATAAAATTCTTGACCGCAGTCACTAGAAATCACCAACACATCCTGCAATTCATCAGCCTCACCAACTACCAGAGATTTTGGTAATTAGCTTACACAGAAACGAAAACTGAAACTACAAATCAATCCAAACTTCAAATGAAGTCATTCATCAACTTGCACCAATCAAAACAGCAAATTTACACCAAATCAAGATCTTTTAATAAGACACTGAAAACCTAATTATGCTATTACCTAGGCCTCTCCAAATCATCCACAACACCTTGAATTCAACTTTATCTTCCTCAGCTTCCACTAAAACTCTTGGCAAATAGCTCGCAATAAAATCAAAACTAAACTCCAAATGCATTCAAACATCGAAAGAAAACATTTCACACTGAAAACAATCAACTAAAGCAAATTTGCATCAAATCAAGATCTTTAAAAGAAGATACAGAAAACCTAATTATAAATTTTTCGACCATTGTTACATGAAATAACCGGCACATTCTAGAATTTCACACTATCATCCTCACCTTAAACTAAAAATACTGATAATCAGCTTGCAATAAAATCAACAAGAAGAAGAAATCATTCGAAATCACAGCAATACCAATAAAGATAAATTTTGAATGAAAATGAATAAAAAGGATCAACAGCTTGGGTAAAGAAGAAGACCGTTTACCACCAGCAGATCCGAGCATTTGAATCACCAACCAATAGCATTTAAATCTCAACGCTTCATTATATAAAATAGCCTCGTCTCTCTACATCACTTGTTGAGAGAGAAACAATCACAATTTATATAAAAATAAATCAACAGTGAAGAGAGAGAATTAACTATTAAGAGAGAGAGAGAGAGAGGGAGGGAGAGGGAGAGAGATTTGATTTTTGAGTTTAATGTTATGTTTTTTTGATTGATATAATTTTTGATCGATGAAGAAAGCGATGGGCTTTTCTTTGCATTCTTTGTTTTTGTTTGTTCAGTTTAGAGAGAGAGTGAGAGAGGTGGTGAGTCACGTGCAGGGAGGGATCTGGGGACCTCTCTCCGACAGCCAGCTGGCATGGGGTGGCTCACCAACATCCACACCTTCGTCCGCGTGGATCACAACTCTTCCCTCTCTTTTTCTTTTTCTTTTTTCTTTTTTTATTTTATTAAATTATAAAATTTAAAATTCATATTTACTCCATCATTTATAATGCAATTTAAGTATTGCTAATATAAGCTGCTAAGATAGGTAGGTTTATTTAATACCAAATTTTGATGTGATTTGTGTTAATCATACAAACATGAGATAAATATAATATCTTAAGTCTTAACCGTATTTGTTGACTCTTGATTTTGGACGCCAACGATTCGCATGTGAGAAACGCTGAACTAACTCAGGAGACACACGTGATGGATACATGGGATTTGAATATGGAGCTGAGATTATATATTTTGCAGAAAAATGAATAAAAGATTGGCAAGAGGGGGTTTTTATAGTGGTTCAGATGCAACAAGCGACTCCTACATCCACTGTTATTTTATTGATCTCTGACTATTTCTATGATTTTGCCCGTAAGGCATACAAAGATGAAGAAATACAATGTTTTTACAGAGAGAGAATGAAAAAATGAAGTTCAAATCTCAGCCCAGCCTCTCGCCTTCCTTCTTCGGGAAGAGAAATGCCAATTTATTCATATTTGCACTCAATGCAATGAGTGTTTTACAAGCTGCCTTGATACATGGAAGACTCTCGTTCATTCATCTCTTTGAAATGAGATAAAGTTGGTGATAATATCTTTAGGGATATGGGCTTGACAACTGGTATAGAGAGACATTAATTGTGTTGACATAGGCTTGACTTGACTTTGCAATTTAAAAGATGTTTAATAAATTCAAAATATTATTATTTATGTAGATTCAATCAAATATATATTGGCGTGATTTAAACCGATTTTATAAGTTACAGTCATCTAACAAAAGTTAAGTGTCATAGTCAAATACAACATAATTGTACTAAAGGAAGATATTTAACATAATTAAATTCAATTGTTTAACACTTTTGAAATCAAAGCATGTGTTATTGCTACAAGTGTAATAGCTAACAACCACCATGGCAAGACATTGGTGTTAAGGATGTCAAAAAATTCTACCTTCCTTCGTACTAAAACATGAGCATGCGACATTTAAGGTTTAAAATTCAAATTTTGATGTGCGAATAAGTATAAAGTTTATAGACAACATTAAATACGTAATTATAAAAAAATCACTCAAAGTGGTTGGTTAGAAGACAATCTCGTTTCCTAATGGAAGATTGAAGAAGCCATGTAAGACAATCTTTTAATCAAATGTGGACCAAAACTTATTTTATTGAACAAGTTTATTGTCAATTAGCACTAGTAACGACGGCTTAACTAGAAATCAAGGACCCGTATTGTCCAAAACAGTAGGTTTGAATACAATTCTATAAAATATTACACATTACATTAATTAAATAATATCAATTTATTTATTTAATTCTTATTTTACACTCTTTCACTGTCTAATCACATCATGCTGATCATCTTCGTAAAAATGTACAGTTAAAATGAAAAGAACCTCGTTTTATTAATTATTTTTTTCAGAAATTTACTGGTCTTCCCCATGTGTAAAATATGTACTTGGTAACATACTTATTTCAAAAGGAGCCTCGAGTCAAATCTATACAGAAAGTGGTATAGTATTTTACATGTGTTCAAAACATGTAGCTACCAAGAATACATATTCCAGTAAAGCAGGGTCCATGATGATGAACCATAGAAACACAATTGTCTTGATGTGTTGAACTGGGGAATATTATACATGTAGAAGCTGCGTCAACACAAACTATTTAGTCAACTTAAGACTAGTTCGTATACACGAAATTAGTTACTTACGTTACGCCAATCCTAACCTAACTTTTGCTTTGTTTCATCAGGCTGGCTTTGACTCACCCACACGCCTCCCCTAATTGTCTGTTTCCTTAATTTATCACACCATTTTTCTTTTTTTAATAATGAATAAAAAGTTGGTACAATGTACTGAATTGGAGCCATTGAACTTGGGCTAAGCTCAAACAAACCTAAGGTTGGTTGGCAACAGTTTTTATAATTGTAAGCTGTAAAGAGCTGATTAATCAAACTCAAAATGTTCAGAATTATAACCTGTTTCACATTCAATAAGAGTAGTTTAGAAGATTCCTGTCCTGTGAGCGCCTTTCTTGAAGAAATATATGTATGAATTGATGAAGCAAAAGCTCACACGGTGATAGAGGAAGCTTCAGAATCTGGTCAACTGGAAATAATAAGGCACAAATTTTAACATAAGCGTGATGAGTGGAGAATAGAATAGAGGTTTGTATTTGCTTAGAAATGTGTTTTAAGTATTGTAGTTGGTGTAATTGGCAATGGAGACGTAACGTTTAATCTGCAGACACAATAGCAACCAGATATGAAGGTCAAAACAGAATATCATGTTCACACAAAATGAAAGCCCACTCCACGTCTCCACCTCCACCTAACAAACAAATTTATATTACGTATAAATAATGGGTTTTTGTCAAGTTGTTTTAATTGCAGGCTCAACTTAACCCAACAACCCAGCCCATTGAACTTGCCCAAAGCCCTGGCTGAGACAGTTTAAGCCCATGATATTCGCCATGTTTCTGGTAATCAATCATGCTTTTGCAGTTTTGCTCGTTTAACGTGACTTCTTATAACTTCGAAAACAAAACTTTATAGGGTAGGGCGTTGATTTAAATAGTCAACCAAATTGAACATCAATATCGAATTTTTACAAACATTATGCTAACCAGGGCTTCTCTATCACGATCTTCGATCCTCTATATATCCCTACATTAATTTTATTGATGACTTTGCAAACCTTTCACGTAGACAAGTCCAGGTCGTAGTGTCGAAATTTGGGCTCACCGACGCGAAGTATGGCCGTATGAGTATAGATAATGGAGAATATCAAGATTCAACATCTTTCCCATCACGATTTCGAAAGGTACCTCTTTAATAAATTATTAACGTAAACATATAAGTTGTTGACTGGTAGTAGCATGTATGAGATGATAACCTATGAAACAGACATAACATCAAACATGTTTAATAAAATTAAATATTTGCTTATCTCATTCATGTTGGTGAACATGGCCATAAAAATATGTGTGCTTGACTCTTGAAGTTGATGCATCGAAAACGCGTCAAGAGAGTTAAGTCCACAGCTACTAATTTCTGTGTGTGGAAGTCGAGAAAAAGTAGAAGTACGTATTTTCCAAATTCAAAGCCATATTTATTACTATTATAATTATTAATTTATTAGTATATCTCGAGCAAAAAATATCTCCCAAGTCCCAAGAATTCAACCCTTTTTTTTTCCGTAAATGTATGTAAGAAGTGTTCACAAAGTAAGAACGGTCAATTAATTTAAATAAAAGAAGTTTGCTTCACTTAAGATTGGTAATTGATTCGAGTTAATTTAGCTGGTAAAGATTGAAAATTTGAAATATTAAAAATGCGCACTTTAATCAAGAATGGATTAATCTAGGAAAGGCAATCAATAATTCACTAATAATTACTTGATAATTTATTGATATTGATAGTATTGTATTACATGATTATTACCAATTCATGATGGAAATTAAATGATGATTATATCGAATCCATCAACTAAACATAGAATTAATTTGCCACGATTAATTGTTATAGCGTGGAATATATTATAATCATGATAAACATTTTCTATTGAACCACTTCCCATTTGGTTCCATAAATAATTAGGGTTGTAGCATCATTTTGAATTGACTTTAAGCATGAGGGTGATTAAGGAACTGTATATAATTAAATAAGAGTAAACAACTTTTTCCCACCCAAGGTTTGCCTTAAGAACACTTTTCCACCCAAAAAGTTTCAAAATACCACTTTCTCACCCAAAGTTTATATATCGTTAATACTCAAAATACACTTCACTTTCTTAGCCAGTGTTTGACAAGTTACTAGGAGTCAGAGTAAGAGGCGTTGTATGGGCCAAAAATCGTATTAGACCTGACGAGATCCAATAGCATCATAAATAGGTAACGGCCCAAGGCCTTGGCCCAATTCCGATCGAGCCCACGCTTAAAATACCTTGTGAACTACCTACTCTATGAGTTGGGACATCCCACGAGTTAAGTTGAACAAGGTCTGGCTCATTCGCCCACAGCAGTCCATAATAAGGATCAGAATCCTAGTCAATTTTCTCTTCTAACAAGATCTCATATCTCACCCACAGAGGAAAGCTTTAACCAATAAAGGCAAGAAATATAGTCTCCTTCCGAAAAGAGAACTCTCCTACTAAGTAGGACTCAGAGTCCTACTAGGATTCGGACTTCTTGGGCCAACTATATGAACAGAGGCAAACCCTTTCATTAGGCATCCAATAATCACCCTTAAGTTCTAGTATTCTTACTCCTAAGCCCTCTGCATATTCCGATGATATCCCAACGTTACTAAAGCCCCCCTAAACCGCAAGAGCACTTTTCACAAGTCCATCAAGATTGTTAGTGGCTCGCATCACAAGATTCTATCTTCACAAGTTTAATTGTAAAATTTATCGTTTACAATTTGGCGCCCACCGTGGGGCCTTGGTAATTTTCCGATTCCAAAACGACTTGCTGAAGCTGTTTCTCCTCCCCATTCGGCTATCATGACCAATGACACAGAGACTTTAGCGTCTGATGTCACGGCATAGATTGTGGCTCTCACCACATTGGTGGAGGAAATTAACAACAAATATCAGGCTTTGGAGGCTTAGAATGCTGCCATATGCGTGGAGAACCAAGCACTATAAGATAAGGCACCCACGAAGTCAA